ACAAACAGCAGTATAATTGGACATTGTAGGTTTTTTTCTTTTTTGATATTGTTGTTGTTCTGCTATCACACGTCTATAGGCTCTTGCTGCCGAGCAACGATAATATGGAGCGCATCCATACAGGTCTTTCAACCTCTGACCCCCGCCACAATATCACCTGCTTCAGCACGCCATTATCGGGCACTTGTGCACGGCGTGACTATTGTGGTGCGGTCTTAGCCATTGTGCATAAGCCCAACCGTACTCTCTCTAACTGCCACAGTGTCTTGACCCATGTCCTCAACAATAGCACACTCATCATCTGTAAAATCTATCAACTCCTCTTATACATCGTTGCTTACCTAAGCTCCAAATGCTCATGCGCATACCTGAACGTGCGCGTACTCGTCAATGACTTTAATAAATACCTGTCTCCTTCAAGTATTTTAATTATCTCAAAGGTCCCTTAAACTTGGGATCTAACTTCGATTGATTTCGTTCTTCTTTCCAAGCTTATGTTTTATAATCTTGCTTTATTTTTGCCGAACCTAGCCTTATCATATTTGGCGATATTCATAATATTATCTTTGGCTTGTGCTCTTATTAAATCTTTATCAATTTTTCTTTCATCTGCTATTGTTATCATTCCTAACGGCCTTGCCTCATTACCGATTAACAATTCTAACAGACTATATTTCGTCATCCGATTTGTCGTGCAATTTATTGCCAGCTGTATGTCCTTTAAAGCGTCTTTCCAGGATCGCTGACTATTCTCAACCGGTGTTAACATGCTCTTCATGGAGCTCATGACACGCTCTACTTGACCGTTTGCTTGACTAGCGCCCGTCGCAATCAAGTGTAAACCAATCTTCTGAGAAGAACAAAATTTCCTAAACCTGGTGCTAGTAAAACATCTACCCTGATCAGCTATGATGCGTGCCGACACTCCGAATAGTGCAACAGTTTCTTTGACTGCCTTAATGCAGGTTTCCGTATCAAGGTTCAGCGTATGTTGGAGGTGAACACATTTTGTGAACGCATCAACTTAAACTATGATGCTCTATCGTTTTTGCCACCTAACACTCCGGTTATATCAATATGCACAGTGTGCCAGGGTATGCCATCTTTAGGAATCGGGTGCATTTCTATTAGTGGCTTGCCAGCTGGTGGTTTTGGCACTTTACAGGTAATGCAATTTTCTACAAACTTTCTCACATATTTAGACATTTTCTCGAACCAGTAGTTGGCATACATTTTCTCTAGAGTTTTCGTTCACCCTAAATGCATTTTTGCTTCATGGACATTTTTAATGACTAGCCATCTGAAGGCTCTAGGTATTACAGGCAAACATTTTGTTCTGCCATTTATTTTAATCTTTCGATATAACACTCCTGCTCTTAATTCGTACGTCCCTGAGATAGCTTCTCCCATTTCATGATATCGCAATTTTAAGATTATAGAAGCAATGTCAGAATCTCGTTGCTGGTCGGCTAGAAACCAATCGTCGGTTATCTCAGATAGGTTTATGCGCATTTCAACCGTTTTCGCTGAGGATTTATAATCAATGGGCAATGGATTGCGCGAATAGAAATCAGCATGCGACATGCATTCTTTCTTCTTGTATTCAATACTGAAATCGACTGATTAAGGATTTGCCCACCATCGATGTACCCTTGGAGTCAGGTCAATTTTTTTGATACTTGCTTTCAAAGAGTTGCAATCTGTATGCACAATAAATTTTTGACCATGTAAATAATGGCGGAAGTGCCTTACTGCGTTGTAAACCACGAAGGTCTCAAGCTCGTATGAGTGATATTTTGCTTCAGCCATTGTCGTACTTTTGATGTAATATTCAATAACTCTGGGTCTATTTTCTATCTTGTGCATTAAAATGGCACCATATCCAATAGAACTTGCGTCCGTGTGTAGTTCAATTGGCTTTAATGGATCGAAAATAGTCAAATTGGAGTCATTAGTCAATATTGACATAATTTTTTGACGAATTTGCTCATATTCTGGCTTCCAGACAAAGCTTTTATTTTTGGAAGCGAGATTATATAATGCTTTCATTTGCTCAGAAAATTTTGGTACGAACTGCCTAAAATAGGAGGCTGGGCCTATGAATTGTCGCACCTGTGTTACTGACTGCGGTGACGGCAATTTGACCCGCTTCAACTAAGTATCCTAGATATTCTATGCTCGTTTTCAAGAATGAGCATTTTGTAATATTAATGGAAAACCCAGCTCGAGACAATTTTTTCCAAAACCGCTTGCAGCTTTTCATATGCCCCTTCCTTTGTCTTCGCTACAATAAACACGTCATCTATGTAGACGATGGCATACGTTTGAGCCAAATCGCCTAATGCTCTTACAATTGCGCGCTGAAAAAACGAAGAAGCATTTTTTTAATTCAAAAGGCATGGCTAAAATTATATTGCCCTTCTGGTGTGACAAAAGCAGTGCGCTCAATAGAGTCAGCGTGTATAGGTACTTGGTAAAAGCCACTTGCCATGTCTACACTAGTGAAATATTTGCCTTCACGCAGTCTCTTAATTTGATCAGCAATCAAAGGCAGCGGATATTTGTCAGCGACCGTATTGGTATTTAGTTCACAATAATCGACGCATATCAGATAAGCTCAATTTTTTTCCTAACTATTAACATTGGGCTTGCAATTGGGAAGCAACTCGGACGTATGACGTTTGATTCCAATAATTTTTTTATTTTATTTCTCACGACTTCCTTTTCTTCTATAGTCAACCTATACGGACGTCTTTGTACAGTTTTATCTGTGTTGCTTAATGCTTAATGCAAATGAGACTTCAGACCCTAATCCTATTTTTTTTACATTAGCCAGATTTACATAGTATTATGCACAGGATTTTCACCAATGCCCTTTCGAACTACTTAATTATTAGAATTTTTCAGCACAAATCTCTTGATGAGCGTTTATTTAGCTACAGAATAAAAACAAAATGGAACGGGCTCACCATATTAACGCAGCATTTGACATTTGCATTGCTCTTAATATCTCGAAAAATTTTCGGTTTTGAGACTCCAGAAGCTGAAGACTTGCACGTTCGAATGAATGAATTTTCATCGTCCTCTACTACACCTCTACTTGTCATTCTACATTCTTCTCTGACTTTTAGTACTGTTAGTGAGCACTCAACACTGTATACCAAACTGAACGATATACAACACACTCGGGCCATGCTCGGCAGAGACTATCATCTTCGTCTCACACCATGCTTTCAGTAGCAACCCTAATACAAGTAGGACAGTAATATTGAATATCAGTACCTTCTGTCATATTATCTGTTTCTTACTAACACTTAATCGGTAACATTCAAAAATAATACTCAGAATAATTTGTTGGATATACGACGTATAAATAAAATTTCTAATAATTTTATTTTGATTTTAATTTGTGAAAATGCCTTAGAAAAGAAAAAGCAGGCAATATATTTTAATGGCTCGGCATGTAAAACGAGTCGCAGAAGGAAAAAAGATTGTCAAAAAAAAACGAATTAGAAATTAAATTTGAATCGAATTCATTATTTTCAGATAGCAATAAATTTGCATCTACAGATGGCTGTCCGTTAATGAGGACAGGCAATGATTTGCCTTACTTGTTGGTCGAAAAAATTCCTGGGTTACCACGGTATGTATGTACTTTAAAATTTACTCTACGTGGAATTGTATAACGAATTGGTGAGCCAGGCGAGTATGTTCACAATGGTTTAAAAGACGCGTTAACTGATTTCCGTACTAATTTTACATATCTTTCTCCTAATATATGTTTAAATATTAATGTAGAAAGGCTACCATTGTCTAAAAGCACAAAAGAACAAAAATGGCCCATTTTGATTAACGTCAATGGTACATTAATTATTCCAAGCCCCGTGATCTAAAAAATATTTGGACGAATTTGTCTGCGAATCAGGAGAATAAATCACAAAGGGCATGATATTTAAAGATGGGAAATTCCGAATACAATTTATTTGCGATGCGCCAGCCCACGGCTTCATTTTAGACAGTGAATTATAACTTCGAATTTTATTCATGTAACCATTGCGTTCAGAAGGGAGAAACTTTAAAATTTTCAGAGGATCATGTAATCCACCACGAACCAATGATAGCTTTTGAAACCGTCTTCAACCAGAGCACTACAACATACATGGCAAACTTATTCGTGAACATTTGCCGATTGATTTGGTAAATTAGTTTCCCCTAGACTATATGCACGTAGTTTGTCTGGGCCTCACAAAATCGGGTTTAGTGGCTTTAACGAGAGCCAAAAGCTATACGTCTTGAAAGACATTAAAAAATCAAATTTATACAATCATTTTATGTTAGTTAGCTTAGGAATTAAACTTCTTCTACACAAGGAATATTGTGTCACACAAAACTCTCTTGCATCCTGTTTACAAATGACTTTGTAAGCCAAGTGCCTACTTTCTATATGTTTCTCATCCTTACATTTAATTTTCATTGTTTAACATATTTCAGCAAACTATCTTTACTATATTGTTCTCAGTAGACAATATGCTGCTTTCCATTCGAAAACTTTCTAGGGCATCTAAAAAAAAATTGTGAAGAAGTCGGACTCCTTGGATCAATTATACAATCGAACTACTGTAGAACGAAGTATTTTAAAGTCCTCCTTAAAGAAAGAACTTTAAATTTCAATGGGTCTAACGGTAAAATTTCATATGAGCACTGGTATTTTTATCTTTAAGATGGCGATTGTTTTTTTCGTCAAGGATGGCAATATATATACAATATATAAAATTATTGAGATTGAAAATAAAATCACTAACCATTTGTATGGTTAGTGTTAAATGTGTCATAGCCGATTAGGTTTTGACATATAGCCATTTTTTACTTATCCCATAAACTCCACCTTTGTAGGCATATTCTCTTAAAACCAACTCAATTTCGACTCAAAAATAGTGTTACATAATGTTGAAAAAATATCAGGCAAAATGTTTAATTTTGAAGACAATGGTATACACAATTACTTTCCTTTAATTTAATAAATTCAGATAATAATGAGTTCCTCGTACAACTTTGTTTTGGATGGCAGTGAAAGTGGAGTAAGCTACGAAAATAGTCCAAATTACAGATTAGCAGGTAACATTCTGACATAATTTTACATTTGATATATATTCTATTCATTTTATTTAATCTATTTTCAAATACTTAAGGAAAAAGTATTTCAAATAATCAGTGCAATCATTCCGGTAATCCAAAATGAATGAGATGACGAAAAGTGATCATTAAGAAGCGGAAATTATTCCCTTAAGCAACGAAATTTTGTTGTAAAGGGACTAGTTTGCGGAGAGGCACACAAAGAGAAATTGACGCTGCCAAGTGCATCAAACGCTACGCTTGGGAACTTTAAGGCATTTGAAGACTGTCTGGTAAGGAAACTTTAAATAAAATAATTTAATTACTCTCTTATAAATCATTCATTTTTCTCAAGATCATTGAATTAGTCGCAAACTCTGAAAAACTTACGACAAATTCATCGGATGCTCCTGGCGCCAGATAATAAGAGACGATGTTGCAAAACAATGCTCCTGGCGTGGGATAGAGAAGAAAATGTGTGTTAGAGGACTTCGAACCAGATTAGCCAAACGGAGTAGGTCATACTTTTATAACTTGTATATGTGCAAATTACTATTATTTTGTTAATGTCTACATATGCATTTAAACAAAAGTTTGCGCTGGAAGACGGCGATTTTGAGTGCGTAACACAAACATTTTTTCAATACGCGTAGGAAAGAGTGGCGAGGTTAGAAAAGTCGGATGCCAAAAATATGGAAATAAATATTTTTAGTAAAAATATTTTAATAATGTAAAGAACTTTTTTTTTTATAATTTTTAAGTTGCCAAAGTGCGTTAAAATTTTAAGATATGTTAAAATGTTAATTATTTTTAAAATGAAATTAGAATTAAAAATTATAAGATATACAAGAGCTAGAGACTTGAACATTTCAAGTCTTTAACTCCTATAGGTTCTCAGATCCTTGCGTTCATACATACGGACATGGCTAGATCGACTTGGCTATTGATACTGATCAAGAATATATATACTTTATGGGGTGGGAGATGCTTCCTTCTGCCTGTTACATACATTTGCACAAATACATTATACCCTTTTTACCCATTTTTAATGGGCTCAGGGTATAAATAGAAATATTTGAAAAAATAAGAAGAATCAATTTAGCTACAAAATACCTTTCAATGATGACGAAAATTAACAAATTCAACAAAGTTTATGTATATTAATAATATATAGTATAATATAGTATATGTATATTAATAATATATAGTATAATATAGTATAGATTTGAGTTTCACCCGTCCTCGAACCTATAACACAAAAAAAAAAAAATAAAGAGGAATTTTGTCTTGCGTTTAAATGTATGGTCGTAGTTATAATGTAGACTATCTTGTCTTTGATTTAATGGTTCTATTCAAATTTATGCTGCCGGGAGAAGGCTTCCCCGATTCCATAAAGTACATATATTTTTGATCAGTATCAAAAGGTCTAACCTGTCTTTATGTACAAACGCTATATCAGAGCCTTGAGAGACCTCCACCCTGCAGATTAAATTGACAGATCGGACAATAGAAACCAAAGTTATTCCAGATATCATTTTTGTGTATAAATCTAGAATGTTTTTAGGAGCAGTTCGGCGCTAAATCCAGCTGATCTATAAGTTTGCAAATTATAAGCACTATTCTAATGATCCTAACATTTTGGCAATAACTTTGTAAGAGCTTCATTATGCTTCTAACAATTTGGCAAAGATGTATCATTAAAGACTAAATCACATAACTTCCTTATGGTTCAATTTTTTAAGTTATTTCAACTGAACTCTCATCCGTCACCTAAGCTTAAAAACTATCAACATAAACTACTTAATCATATGTGTTTCATAGTTGAATTTTGAGTTGACATTCGCCTTTCTTTTGCCACCCCGAAGAAATTTATTCCTTTTAACTATACCGTAGAGCATTAGTGGAAAAAAATCATTATTAGTTTCGGCATTTCTTGTTTTAATACCTGGCACGAGTCACATACTGCGGTGGTCCATTGAGCGCCTCTATAAGTGAGACGGGTATGTATCCAGGGGGAAGATCGGGAGGGGTGGGCTCGCCAGCCACTGAAGTTGGTGTATTCTGGTGCAGCATGTGTGTGCTGATGCCTTTTTGCACAGCTCGTATTTGTAACAGAGCACGAAACGGTGCTCGGCAGATAGGGCAGTTGTTTGCCTGGTAACGCAGAGAGTCGGCACAAGAGTTGCAAAGACATAGATGGCGGCAGGGCAAAATAAGTGTGTCGCGGGTTTCGCTCATGCAAATGACGCACTCACTTCCATGGTCATCAATCTCTTCATCCAGGGAGGATTTGTTTACTGCTTTGTTCTCAATGCCGTAGATCTCCTGCAGCAAGTAGCATAGACCGTCTACAAAAATTTTCTGCTTAAGCGCGCGCAGCACATAAGTGCATGTCTCTGGATGGTGGTCTATCACGCAAATCGTAGTATGCGACTGACGACATTCCTCGTTACCTTCCTCAATGACACAATGTATAGCAACTGGGTATTGTTCGCGGCTGGCATTGTATGTAAGATCATCCTCAGGTATAAGCTGCGGGTTGAACACGTGGTTGGGTTGCGAGAAAAATTGATTGATACCTTTTTCGTAATGGTAAGTATCTGATGAAAGAGACAATCCTTCGCGAGGCGCTAATGTGACGCCACTGGGACTCACATCTTCCGTGCAAACGTAGTACACGGTAATGGCACACTTTGCGTCCGAGTCGAATGTAAACTCAATGTTATAGAAGTAGTTTGGTAGCACCGTCTCTGCACTGCTACTGACTCCAACCATGTTGCAGAGGACATTGCCGTCAATTTGTTCACCGGATGCTGATCCGCTGCTTTCCTTAAGGTTCTTGTTCTTTTCATTCTCCTGCAAGGTATCAGCATCAGCACAGCTTGGCCTCTTGTCATTTGGTACTCGCACAAATCGCACAGATTCTTTTCGTATGTTGACAAGACTTTTGAGCGTTTTTGTTGGCTCATTAGCTTGCGGCGGTGGATAGGGAAAGGCTGTGGGTCGATTGCCTAGAAAATTAAGGTCCGCATTCTCACCAAACAAATAAGACTCGGGTTGGGGCGTGTCAAAGCGCTCACCACCCATTATAAAGTGAGTGCCGAAGAAATTGCCAATACGAGGCGGATATTTGTAAGCATTATTGGTGATATGGTCTGCTTCCTCGACAGCAGCGTTTTGTCTGCTCACTAAATTACCCATTTATGCACTGTAAATTGTTTGATTTCACCTTGCACTGGCTGCTTTGTTCTTTTCCTATTATTACAGTAGTGATGAAAAAAATGGGAACACGATTGTTCTCTGCATCGATATTATTTCGATGTTTTGGTAACTCTTCGTTTTGGTCACCCATCATAAGGAACAGCCAAATAGTCGGATATGGTGTCTATTTAACGTAGTTATTTTTCAGGACTCCATTTCCGGCAGCGGAACTTAACTTTATTGTGTATTTTATTAAATATAACCAATCAAAAGTTGCGATAACGTGGTGGCGGCACGATTGTCGAAAATCGTTCAGCAACGATACTACTTGATGATGAATTTCCTTAATTTTGAAAAATCGTCAACGCTTTGAAATGAGCGCATTAGAGCTGCTCATTATCTATGTCGAGTTATTATAAATATCGAATTTACGATTTGGCGCAAAAATATAAAAAGGACTTTTAAATTTGAAATGTTATCTTTTCAATGATTAAATACATACTACAATTTTATTGCAACTTTTACTATCTTAATATACATGTAACCCATCAAATGGAGTTATATAATACATTTCAAAAATATAAATACGAATAAAAATGAATATGTTAATTATACTTCAGCTATACAATATTAACAGAAACTATGAAATTTAGTTCTGCTCGAAAACTATTAAAAGCAAGAACAGGCGTTTTTGCTTTGTATTTAAATAATCAATTTTCAGTTGAAAATTATTTTTTTCCTGCACCAAAATAAACCTGATATCTTAATTTATATTTTACTTATAGCCTAATTCCACTGTCCACATATCTTAGATTTTTTTTTGCGTATGTTACAATTTTGTCTGATGTTAAAAATGTGGCTAGTACGTTTACCCATAGGAAAACACATTTTACAAAAATGTGGCATATTCAAAAAATGTGTGTATTCGCCCCAAACAATTAGTTTTTTTGGGATGATTTATCGGATTTCGTATCGATGTTATGAAAATTATGAAAGTATCATTACCATAAACAGGTGATTTCGCTACATAGGCAAGCGGTAACTTTAAATAATAATTTTAAATTTTATTAATCCCACAGTTTTAACATTTAAAGATCCCGCAAGGATCCCATTAAATGGAGAAATTACTTTGAGGTCATATTACATGACTTTTAGAAGGAAAACTTTGCGGCGCTCAGGTGTTTATTTAAAGAAGCGGTACTTTTTCCACTCACAGGTTACCGACAACGGACACTTGCTAATGGAACTACAAAATGTGAGGTTTGAAAATGCAACATTTTTTGAGCACTAGGCTAATAGACATTTAAATATGAGTTAAAGCACTAACCAAATGACATATAGACTGGACAAACCCTACATTTGGTGGTGACAAGCGTTTTATTTGCGGCTGGTCCAGAGTCGCCTTCGTTTTTGTTCGGGTTCGAGACATGCCCGCATGCTCTCACAGCAAGAAAGTAAGAATACATATAACATGTGACGTAGAACGGCATCGCTGTCTTTTTACTCGCTCACTCTACAGGAAGCTGCTTTAGCTTACTCTCAGTGCTCTTTCAATTTGTCTATGTACCGCTTAAATTATTGTGTGTGTATGTGTCCGCACAAGCAAAATGCCCACAAATTAAATTTTTCTCAAAAGTCGGTGGCATTTCTTTCCTTTTGAGGGGACGAGTAACATGAAATAATGAAAAGATTTGCCACGTCGATGCGAAATTCTTTCATTTTAGCTCGTTCTTGTTGGAAAGGGTTCCTAAGCGTTGGCATGTGTGCATTTAAAAGTTTTTGGACTTGCTATTCACGCATACTTGCATATTTTGTATATGAATAGAAGCATTTATGCGCTTGTGTACCTGTAGGTCCCTGCCTACAAACACACACACAGACACAAATGTGTGTGAATGGGCAGATCATGGGCGCAAAATTTCAAAAAATCGTGTGCCAATAATGATATTTTTAAATTTTAGGAAAAATCGGAATTGGCAACACTGGACGCGTGCGCTGTTTCAACCGTGTGCATTATTTTGTTGAATTTTAATTTGTCCGAATAGGTAATAGGACTCTCCTTCGTTTTTATGCTATGGGTAACATTAATTATTTTGAATTAATGTTAATAGAGACTTATGAGTACTTACCGGTGATGCTTGCCGTTAGCGGAGGGATCTGCAAAGAAGGCTGGAAAAAATGATGACGAAATACGCATTTTATATGGACACATGCGTGCATACAAATCCAATTTACAAAACATTATATAAGTGTATGCATGCAAAGTATACATAATCTGTGTAAAGAACGCTCATTGTGCATGCATTAATATAAAACTATTGAGATTGCGAATATTGAGATTGTCCTTAAACTTTTAAAATTGTTTTGAGGTTTAGGAGACTATAAGTATCTCGATCGGATATATAGAATTATAAATCAATATTTTTATACCCTGAACCCATTGAAAATGGGTAAAAGGGGTATAATGTATTTGTGCAAATATATGTAACAGGCAGAAGGAAGCATCTCCGACCCCATAAAGTATATATATTCCCTGATCAGCATCAACAGCCGAGTGGATCTAGCCATGTCCGGCTGTCTGTCCGTATGTATGAACGCAAGGATCTCAGAACCTATAAGAGCTAGAGACTTGAAATTAGCTGTAGGTTCTCCTAGTAACCGCGCAGATCGAGTTTGTTTCTGATATTCGATAAATTGCCCCGTTTCCGTTTTTTAGCAATTTTGGTAAATAATAAGAGCTACAGTCACCAAACATGACATGTGGCTTCTAGAATAGTATATATATCAAGTATCTTTCATTTTATACCTATCGCCACCTTCTCGCTACCACCGCAAAGCTAAAAATCAAGTTAATTATCCAACTTGTATTGTGCGCACGTTAGCAGCAGCTAGCGTAAATTCCAAGAATTTCTATATACATGTACACACACATATTCATGCGCGTCTTCTTTGAATTCTATCAACAGCATTGCAATTGCGATTGTATTGTTTTCTGTGCTGCTATTTTAGTTGGTTTTTTTTTCATTAAAACTCAATTACTGCTGTGGCTCTTGAGTAAAGGCGGCGGCAAGTGGTGCGGTTAGTTGCGAGTTCGACGAACCCTGCCAAGGGAACAATTTTTTTTTATTTTAATTTTTTTTATTACTATTGAAGCAAACGAGCGCGTAGCGCGAGCTGCATTTGGTGTTGGAAGAAGAGGGTTCAGTGTATCCCCTAGTCGGGAGCTTCCGACTAGAACCTCTTACTTGTTTTGTATGCAGCCCCTAATAACGATATGGATTCATACAATAGACAAATTTTTTTTTTTACATTTTGTCTGGTCTGGACTGTATTTGCCATAACTTTCTTTATTCTCGACCGATTCCAAAAAGCTTTAAGTCAACGGAAAGCCAACATACATTTGTATATATGTATAAATATATCAACAATTAGATCATTTACACGCTATAAAAATAAAATAAAAATTAGCGAAAACTATGTCATTTTTTTACAGAACTTAGTTGTGGCTATATCTATTGGCTTTCCATTGAATAAATCGGTTGCTGAATATAGTAACCAACCCCCATAGCCAAAAAAATTTTATTATAATAATTAATTATAATTAATCTATTTCGATATTAGGGGCCCCAAATTTATCCAAAACAGTGGTTTAATTAAAGACGGTAACAAAACATAATTCCTTTGCATAGTGTAATTAAGTGGGCTTTGAGTTTCTTTTGCATTTTTGGAGCAGACCAAGACGTTAATTTTTTGAAGTACATAAACACATACAGGGACAGACATCAATTTGATTTCATTTCGAGAAAATCCAGTTAAAATAGAAACGAACTTAAACATTCAACTTAATTTGTGCGTTTCTTTACATTTTGTATTTGTCCACCAATCACATAAAGGAAGCGTATTGACCAGGAACGACTAGCGCACCATGCAGAAGTTCGCAAGGGACAATTGGTTGGCGAGGGCAGCGCATAATAATATTGAAGCAAAACATCAGAAGCAGTGTGATTGTAAGTCGAAATCTTTAGAATAAACCAGTAATAGTGCCCTACTAGGGTCTAGTCGAGAGTGTCCTACTAGGGTCTAGTCGAGAGTGCCCTACTAGAGGATACCCTTACCCTTCTACTAACACCAATTCTATTTGTATATATGCGTATGCGTGTTGCGTGTGTGTACAAAAACTCTTGTGCTTTGCGCTTGCTTCTTTATTAACTTCTGCGTTTCTTAACCGATATTGATGAAATATAAGTAGATCTTATTGATCGATAGAAAATTCGTAGATTCTCAAAAAGACAACAGCATTAAATGACTTAGTGGTCTAAATCGGTGTGCAGTTTCAATTGTTGTATAGCTATGTGCGGAGGCGCGCACGGTGTCACATTACGATTGCTTACGTCGAGGAGCGTTGCTCGCAACATTGTCGCTGACTCAACTTCTGGTGCTGTTGTGTAATATCCGCAGACGGTGTCGAAATTGCACTTTTACCGGCTATGCATTGTAGTAACGCTTGAAGTGAGAGAAAACAATTTTTGTTTATCTCTATATATAAAACTGTTTGTCCTGACTGACTGATTGGTGATCAACGTACAGCCTATACCCTAAAACATAGGAAGCTAAAAATTCCACCCGCATGTGTGGAAAAATCGCGAAAAACGTTTGTATGAAACTTTTTTGTTTACCATCCGATCAGCCTCAAATTCATTTTCAAAGATCTTTGTTGAAATTCATTTGAGGGGCGTTTCACACTTTTCGTAAAATGCATTCCTCCTTGGTGTAATGGGGGTCAAAGATTTGGTGGGTGACATTTCACGCCCGAATTCATTTCCAAGCATCTATATGAAAAATCATTTGAGACGTGTCACACATATTTCACAAAATTAAAGCCTCCTCGGTGAAGTTTTAAGTTTTGTTCGATTTGCTTCAAACTTATTTTTAAGCTCTACATAAGAACTTATGAATATGTGTTTCAGCGATTTGGGAAATTCCACCCGCAACATTGGTTGATTAGCGAAAAACGGTTGTATGAACGTGTTTTGCTTATATAAGTTATCACCAGCTAGTCCGATTGGGCGA